TGGGCTTATTCTAATATTTCTGATGGCTGCGATGGCAACTAGGCTGCCCTCTTTCTATACTTGTATCTGTTTCCCTGAGCCTCGTGCTCTCCACCAGCCGCGATAAAGGGGAAGCAAGTGCTCCTAAAACTCCTATCGTCTGGAGATACCCTCTGGTTATAAGAAATAACGTGTACTCCTTACACGTGACAAGAGTCATCGTTTTGAAATCAGTCCAAGATTTAGTAAAAGAATTGCTCTCGATTATTCTTTTCGTTTATGTTGCCACGTGTTTGTAAACATGCGACATATTTTTCACGTGATTTCTGTTTTATCTTGTTGAAGACAAATGGATGGAAAAATTAATCATCGGTTGAGAAATTCGAGGAAAAAATTGTCTGAGTGAGTGACCTAGTGGTCTTTCTTTTTTTTGGGGGGTTCAGAAATTGGTCTTGATGATCCGGGAAGAAAATTTTATGAGATTGTGTTGAAGAATTAACATTGGGCTTGATGATGGAAAAAAATGGGGAAGGTTTTTGTGAATTATAGACGGCCAAAATGAAGTTTCTAGGAATATTTAGTCCAATATATTTTAGGTTAAACATAGTTGAACCTAAATAGTCGTAAAATCTAGTGAAAAAATTTTAGCATTTTTCTAGCATCCATATTAAATCCAAGTATAATATTATCTCTATAATATTAATATTAATATTAATACGTAAAGTACCTAATCTATCCTTAATAAGTGCGATTCAATTATATTACATTACATTCTGTAATTACATTACAATTTAATTTTCCGTTTAAAATACAAAATTGCCCGTAAACGATGATGAATTCAAAGTATAAAGCTTCTCTAAAATGCGAATTAATATAAAAAATTCACAGTTTCTATTGACTGAGACTCGGGTCGAAATCTGAGGGAATTCTAGAAAACTTTATGCTGCTATTTTCGCGGGAGAATGAGATTAGATTCGAAGAAAAATTGCGAGGTTTTCGGTGAACTGAGAGGCATGGGGGGGAATTGAATGGATGATTTTCGAGGGAGAGCTCTTCCTCGATCATGTAACACCCGCAGCGGGACGGAAATAATTTCAGCCGGTGAGGAGGGGCGAAGAAGCGAGAGACGGTCAAGTGGAACAAGTCAAGAATTTCTACATCATACGTTGCACTGACTCAATTTAATAGTGGGATCCACTCCGGTGTCGTGTGAAATATCTCATCTGGATTATCAACTGGATTTCATCACCCAAAGAGATTTCCTTCGAAGAGCAATAAGAATTATTAACCAATTTCATTTAATAAAATGGATCAAAATGGATTTTTCGCGTGGAATTCTTTAGATCTCAGAAGAACGGAGCCGTACAAAAATTGTAAGAAATACAATAAATACAAAATAGAAATATAAGAAGAAGATTGTGTCTTGAGAGAGAAGAGCTCTTTTTAAAAAATTACAGCTCTTTTATTCTCTTCATTCTGACTTTTGAAATCTAAAAATTTCGACGTTGAACGACGAAAGGGGATGAGATTCATACCGGAAGAAGATCAGACGACAGTTTAGGAATATCACCCTGATCCCTTATGACAACGTTCAAACCTATTTTAACGGGGGAATAATAAAATATGTACAACTGCGCGTGTATAATTAGAACATTGTCCGGAGACCACGTGACACGTCACACCGTGGAGTATCGTCCCGCTGATTGACAACGAGATTCGATTATGTTTCTGAGAATGGACGTCCGTTCAATCGTGATCAAAAATAGCAGAAGCCAGAAGCTTAAAAATTAATCGCCACGCGAAAAGTGCTCGCTCCTATGTATACGTAATCGAGAAGGTGCAACGATCTCATAGTGTTCTCCATTATGCAACACTGCGTTACTGCAAAGAAAATTCACTTGGATTTTCAATGAAAAAACCAAGAGAACAGTCGAATAATCACGCGGAATAATTTATTGCAACTTTTGGAGCTGTTTATATATCATATCATATGATCATTATATTAACTTTTTGAAGACCGAATAATCTAATTTTTATTATTTTCATTTCTCTGCAAGGAAGAGCCTAATTTTTACTGTCTTGATGACTCATGTTGTTCCTACTTGCCCGTCTTTCGTGTCTCACGACACAAATTTGGTTGGACTTTTTTTTTATTTCGGTGCGAAAGCGCGGTAGAAGCGTAGCTTCTCAAGGATCGAATTCCGGTTCTTCTTTCGTTCGATAGGGGCGGCGTTTCCGAAAAGTTGCTCGTTACCGAGAGGAGAGCCACGTATACATATGCATGTGAGAATACACTCATCCTCTATTAATAGCATCTTGCTCAAATTTCTATTTTTAGAAAGACTTATACGCGTGCACGTGGCTTTATGTAAAAAGCTCGCCGACTATACATATGTACATGACCGCGCTGTGGTCACGCCCACGCAAGCCTAGCTTTTGGAAAGCCATTGTGCTGGACTACCTTGCTCCAACTTGAGGATTTCTCCTATGCGAGATTTATCCGAGTGTTATCGACTTGGCTTGCTAATTTTTCTGACACATTATAGCGTGTGTCTCTGTCAGAGATTTTTTAAAAAATTAATTTTCATTTATTTCGAGGTAGATCGATGTTGTTCTTCTGGGTCATTCTTACCTCAGTTTGAAATTTTCGAAGATTTATCCAAATTATGGTTTCCTTTTCAATACGTACAATTATTTCTCAAGATTTTGTTTGGAAATTCATTTTCCCTTATCCAAATGTGAGATTCTTTGGCCTAAGTTATTCACGCAAATTTTGATATTAAAAATTAAATTATATAGTCATTTTTTAAGAAAATTCCCCTCTCGAGAATTAAGTTCAATCTGGGGTAAAGAAGTTACTCTATCCAATTATATGAATCGATAATTTTTAATAGTGATGAGTTTCTCATAAATACGTAAGATACAGACTCAAGTTTCATTCTTGTCATTTTTTAATACCTACTTTTCCCAAATTGTGTTATTTTATATAATTATATAAGGATGCTGCGTGACAATTGGATCGATCGAAGTTGCTCATCCTCTTTTGTCAATTTTAAATGCAATGACAACGAGCGAGGTGATTACTACTGACGTAGGAGAAATTCGACTTTTGGAGGGAAAAGTTTGGGAAAGATTTCGTTGACCGGGTGCCAATTCGGTTTGGTGTTAATCTAAAAATTATGGTATCGCGTTGCTGTTGTCCGCGAATGCCATTAGGGCCCGGGAATTAGTCCAAGATGTATGAGTAATAAATTTATTTCGGTGTTTCTCTCGCTGGTTCATCGCTCAGAAAACATTCTCTTGTGTAGTACAATGTAAACGAATACCATATCGTCACCAACGTGACTCATACTACTATCAACAGATTTTTACCACCTCCTTTCAAACAATTCCTAATTTTAATTCAACTTACTCTCGTGAAACATTCAATCGGCAAAGAAAACGTTTTTTCAAAAAAATCACGAGGTTTGACGAAGTTTGATATGATTTGAAACTAATTGCAGGTTCATTTCAACTTGAATTCGAATTAAGTTAGAGATCACAAAAGCATGCTTCAGAAGGTGTATTTTCAAAAAAGTGGACACGTCATCGACTGAAATAAATCAACAGCCGACTACATCGTGATAAATACGTATTTCAATTCCTTTAGATTATTATCAATTTAATAATTAATTTAATAATAATAATCTAGATTGGTGTTTCGCCAAACTTCCATTTACCGGAAAAAGCGAATTGATTTCAAGAAGTCGCGACAAACAGGTCAGATTTGATGAAGTTTGACACGGTTTGAACTAACGACAAGTTCGGTTCAAGTTAAATTTGAATTGAAACAAATATAATAGCGCGATGCGAGTGCTGCGTTTGAGCAAAAGATCGACGAATTATTAATTGAGTAGCTCGATTTAGTTTAATTTTTCAACGTCGTGTCTCGTGCAAAGATTAATAACAAATGGGCTGGATTTAAAGATTCAACGCGAGGGATCCTTGAACCTCTTCCAAGGCCACGATTCCACGTTCCACGAAATAAAAACTTCGAAACCGGGAGTTCTCAGGTTTCCTGCATGCCTCGGCTTCGTTTACAGCTATGCGTTCCCGTTTCTTTCTAAAAATCCACGCGGTTACTGCGCTTTTGCAGAATCTTACGCGTGGCCCGTCTCGCTGTATATTTCTCTAACATCCCCGTGATATCTCTCGTGGCGAATATCTCTCTCTCTCTCTTTCCCGTCGTAAATATTACATTCCCGAAGCACGTCGATTGTTATCTTAATGTTTGCAGAATCCTCCACGCACCGTCTAACCATTTTACTTAACGAAACGTGGACGAAAGGCTCGTCGAAGAGAAAAAGAAAACACAATTCTTCCCCTGTATCCTTCTCGTTCCTTTCTTGTTAAATGCGCTATAATTCTCAGCAAGTGCTACGCAGGAAGAGTAAGAAATGTCCGTAAAACAGAGGTCACTAGCCTTCTTGCTACCTCGCACGCCACAAAAAAAAAAGCATTCATACATGAATTTCAAACATTCCATACGTTCTCTGACGATAAAACTCCAAAATTGCGGAGAATTTTTTGCAATATGCATTAATATATAAAGGATATATCTGAGATTAGACAGTGTTCACAAGAGGCGCACGAATTTCCACGAAATACCGAATATGACGAAAAATTCTTTTCTCTCTTCAAAGTCAAGTTTGAAAACCCTAAAGCCGCACCAAAATCCTCCTGTACAGTGTAACGAACGAGCCGAGCCTGACATCTCCAATCACCTACATACGCGTCTACGAAGAGAAGAAGAACGTATTAAATTTAGACAAACATCCGCGGTCTTAGCAAAGTTCCTCTCGCGAGGAGGCGAGCGACAGGATAAGATCCAGCGGTGTTAACGAATCGTGGCCGTTTCGGTATCCCGACGTATAGTGTAACACCCCCGCTAGATGGAAGGCGGCTACTTGCGGCTGTGCTCCCTCTTGCCCACCGCGACGTTGTCGTCAAGAGCGCACTGACGTTCCGATGCACACGTGCCGTGTGCAAACGGCCTGGCTATGACTAGGACGTGCACGACGCGAGAACAGCCATTCGAATCCAGTATTAGTGCGGTGTAGAGTGCTTCTCGGTGTTTTTTTTTGTTCATCTTCGCACGCCTGCCTTCATACCCGAGGTTTACCGATCCTCTCGTGACTTCGAAACCCGTTCACCCGGTGGTGAGTAGTAGCACAGCACACACGCCACAAACGAGCGAGCGAGCGAACAGTGTTTCACGCGACTGGCCCAGAGATCATCGTACGATCATCCGTTCTCACAGCAGAGGCAAAAGTAGAGAGAGAGAGAGAGAGAGAGAGAGGGTAGTTGCATTTAAATATCGATTTGAAAGTGAGAATTTTGGGGAACGGTCCTTCTTCCATTCGTTTCTTGGATGTTTTGGTACTTGGTAAAGAGCTTGGAGAGAGTTGAAAAATTTAGTCAATTGCTTTCTGTTAGAAGTGAGATCCTTGGAAACTGTTTCTCTTCCATTAATTTTCAATGATCTTGCAGTTGCTAAAGACTCGATGTCGTAGATAATGTTAATTTAAAAGTGAGAATCTTGCAACTGTTCCTCTTCTGTCAATCTTGGATAACGTATGTTCGATAAAAGGGCTCAAAGTCGATTGCTTTTATGAACTTTGTGAAAACGTTGGAGTCGTGCTTTGTCTAAAAAAAATTTGCCTTTCACTCAAATTATAATTCTGGTAATTGCTATGATCTTGTTATTTTAGACGATGACGAAAGGTTTCCGACTAGATTCAGCCCCATTCCTCTTTAATTCCCTCAGTTGACACCAGCTGCCTGAAGGCAGCAAGCAAGATTTAGTCATGAGGATCTTTGGATGGATTCATCCATCTTTCAAAGTCAACTAACAATTTGGCTTTTGATCTTTCTGTCAAAGTCGCAGTTGACGAATGGTTTTGTTTTCTATTATAATTTTCAGTGTAAAGCTTGGCTTTTCATCCCTCTATCAGATTCAGGGAACAGATAATTCGTAGCGTAAGTCTTTGAAGATTCAAAAGTCAAAGTTAGAAGATTGGAACGAGGAAATAGGTAGCCTTGTTCCTTCAATTTTTTGACGCAAACTCTCTCTCCATCAAAGTACATTTTATATTTCATACTCGGCAAAGAGTCTGAAGATTCGAAGTAATCGCACATTAAATGACTCCATGTGACTTGAAGGATGGATAGTTTTATTTCTGTAAATTGTCGAGTTCGAGGATCTGGAGGATCGAAGAATCTGACGAGAATGATTGTCCCGGTGGGGAGCTAGATTTAGTCAGACGTGTCTCACTGTGGAGAGAGGAATTACGCGAGCCATAAAGTTAAAACGCGTGACGGGTTCAGTAAAACGCGATGAAATTTGAGATCGTCCGGATTTAGTATACACGGGGGTGGAGAAGGCATTCTTTCGGCTGTTATGATGTAACGTGATGATATGTGGGGGTGATATGTACAAACAACCGCTATGACTCATCGGTAGAACACTTGCAAAATTGTTGCAAAATTTCTAAATCGAGTTCGCCAGGAAAGGGGTGAAATCATATCGAAGAACTTTGCAACAACTCGATAATGTGAAATGACGAAAAGAGTTTGAAATTTTTAAGAAACCTTAAGTGGATTTAATTTTTTTTGTAATCAGAGAAGATGGATTTACAAATCTTTTGTCAATCGCTTCAATCGTGAAAAAAGGAAAGAATAATTTTGCCATCTCAGACAGTTATGAAAAATGAAGGTTTCGTCTAATTAGTCACCCTATATAATGAGGCAAACGATGTATAGATTGTCTTCTACCGTTATAAATGTAGAAAGAGAATAACGATAAAAAAAAAAAAGAAAAGGAAAATGGTTATTCGAGACAAGAATGAAAAATAAGGGACGGTAGGACTTGCAAATTAATTTTGTCAATTAATCAAGGACCAGCTGGACGAAGCGAAGGTAGGGGTAATGGCGACCGCGTTGTGGAGAATCTAGCGCCTTCCCTAATACGGCCTCGCGATCCGGCTTGCGTCTGCACGGATATAGAATCCTCCGTCTCTCTTTCTGGTCTCTCGTGGTCTCTCTAGCGTCGTTTCTACTAATACCGTGGCCACTATAACTCGACACCAGAGCCGCTTCCAAAAGTCACGCCAGTCGAAACCTCCACTTTGTTCTCGCTTTCAAACAAACCTCTCTCGGAAGCTTCCTCGCATTTAACGCAGAAAATCATCGATTATTTCTCGTCGTCGCGCCAGGCTAGAACCACGTGGCGGGAAATAGAAAATTTTTTGAATCTTTCACAGGCACCTCTTCGCAGAGGAGCATTTGGACCTCTCATTGACGAAGAACAATGATTCAAAGTTTCATTCCTCTCAATATTTACGAGCCCTCATTCTGAGAGTAATCCCATTACCATTTTCTAATATTGTAAGTCTAATGCAGTGTGTGAATGATTATTAATGAAGCTTTAAGGGAATTACCGGCGATCTCTTCTTGGAACGAAGTGGAGCCATTGCAATTTTTATCAGTCCACTCACTTTCTCGATAAACTCTTCGTCTCGTTTTCCGTCACCGTTGACCATTGATAAAAGCTGGGGTTAATTTCATTGATGCTGCTGTTACTTACATGTGTGTATGTCAATGGATAATGTTGCAGTATAACAGAGGAAATATATAATTTCCTCGTCTTTCGTTCTTTCGTTCTTTTCGTATGCCTCGCGAATGTTGATCACTGTGTATATACGCTGGGCTTCAAACTTGGTAAAAATAGACTCGTTCATCGGCAGTAGGGCGGAGACTAAAACTGTTTATGTTCCTCGTGGTGGATTAGGTAATCGGGGCCGGGAAGGGGGGGCTGAGTTATCATTGTTATTCACTGTTTATCCATTCGTGAAAACGTGTTAATAAATCGAAAGTTACTTGTTCACTTGCAAAGTTTCTCTTCACTTAGTCGACGAAATGCTCGGGCTTACTATTTTCAACAATTTCAAAGGATTTGAAATACGCTGTAAAATATAAATAAATCGACGAAATTGTTAAGAAATTCTTCCGCAGATTACAAATTTTATTTTTCGATCGTAATCAACGCGAGATACTGATCGAAGATTTTTCTGTGTCTTTCAGTACAGACAATATGCCTTTTAAACCAGTAGAGCACCCCAAGTGTCCCAAATGCGGCAAATCCGTATACGCTGCAGAAGAACGTGTCGCCGGAGGACTCAAATGGCACAAGATGTGCTTCAAGTGTGGTAAGTGGTTGCATAAAACATTGGAGACTTAATTAGCAAGAGCATGCTTAGTGCCTGTCTTCACTTTGCGATTTAATATTCAACTTAGACAAGCACGGGGTTCTTCAAACATTTTCAAACTTCAATCAAACTTCCAATCGAACTTGTTAATAAAATTCGTTAAAATTCGTAAAATATTTATAAACGTACATACTTGCTTTTCAGTGAATTTTTAATTTTTTAACATTTGATATTTAGTAAATATTTGGTCAAACGTAGTAAATATTTAGTAAACATTTGTATCAAATTCCTTCAAACATTCACGAACGTGATACTTTGAATCTTTTTAAATTTCTTCCGCCTCGCAATTGGTAACAATACGTATTATTCGTTAAATATTTGGCTCATCAAATCTATTTAACATTCAAATCTATCAAACATTCGTAATACTTCAAACATTCTCAAACTGCTTCCACGAAAACCTTTTAATCGAGCAATAAGTTAATACAATATAAGTATTCGTATAATAAACATTTCTTCAATTTACTTTTTCACTGAATTGAGGATATCAATTTTTGATTAAACTCCACGTGAACGTGAAGGATCAAGTATTATCAAAAAAAAAAAAAAAAAATCACACTTGACTCCCTCGAGAAGTACACAGCCCTCGAATTCCTCTGTAGGCTCAGAAACGTGAAAATTTCTTTTCGCAAAGTCAGCGTAGATCAATATCTACGGCGTGATATGAGTTGTAGAAACTTTGATTGACGGACGAATCAATTAATCAGTCAGTCAGGGATCACGGGATCCGAGGCACCCCATTGCGCAAAACACCATCGGCCGTTTTTAAAATTAGCCGCCTCTATAAATAAGTTTTATATCCCAGTCCCGGATGGTTTGTCTTGGCCTTAATTAGTTTTGTATGCTAGCCAGAAATCAAATAGAACCACCCAACGTCAAGCCGAGGGTGCAACGACCCGCGCGAACTCGCCGGGAAAAATCCGGACTTCGTGATTCTACTTGAAATAGGAACCACCATTGAATATTCATTCGCGGCTCTAGATACCAACTGAAATAAGCTGCATCGAAAATTCAAAATTCCTGACACTACTGTCATTTGTTCCTGAATGTATTATATTTGTTTCTTTCCCAATAAAGAAATTATTGATCACGGATCATCGTTACGATCATGACGCTGTTGGCTAGTGTCAGCTTGATGACTATAGTGATTGGTAGACTGTCATTGTTTATGCATTTATGGGAAATTTTATATTAGGATTACTAGAGTAGTTGAAAGGTTTCGTTATTTTTTTTTTTTTTTTTTAGAGAAATTTTATAGATTTATAAAGATAATCGTTTAGACTAGGCCATTGTGATACTAATAGCCGCGAGACTGTCAGTGTCATAGGGTTAGTTAATGGATTATATTTCTGAGTGTTTCAGTGATTTAGATCAAGTTGCACTAGTTTAATTAAGATGACCAATTTGTAATGTTTCATAGAAATTTTATGGGTTTAGATTTTAAGTATTTTCCAAGAGTTCAATGGTTTCTTTGTAAGTTTTATTTTCTCCCTTAAATTTAAAAATTTTTTGGATTTTTCTCACGTGACTTTTATTCTGATTCTTTTGGTGCAAATTTTACGCTTATGATTGTTCTCATATTCTCATCTTCGTTCATTCTCATCTATGATGAAATTTGTTTTATTTGTCTATACTTTCTAGCAATCTATATTCGTGCAAATTATTACTTTGCAATAGATTACAATTCCTTTTTCAACAGAAAAAAAATTCTGGTTGGATCTGATGCTAAAAGTCTTAGTGCGAACACTTGTTTATGTGAATTTCAGAAGATCTTGGTATATTTAACTCTCGACTAGGGTGGTTTGTTAGTTCCATAATTAGCAAGGCGTAACCAGACAAGAAAGTAGGTGAAGCATTCCCTCTGTCTAATTCTATTACCTCAATTACAAGCCAATAAACTGTCAACTTAATCCAATAAAGAAATTCTCAAGTCTGATTTATGTTAAAAAATTGTTTTTACGTTTTTACCAATTTTAACGAGGATCGAAATATTAAAACACAATTATAATGTGAATATTACGTTGTTTCTATAACTTCTCAAAAGTAAACGATCACGAAAGATCATTAATTTTCAATTTCACCTTCATCGAGTTTCATTATTCAGTATTTTCCTCTTCTAACACTAAACACGTTGTCAGATTCATAACTCGGAAAGCTGCAGAATTTTTTTAAAAAAATCGCGGATCATCGATCGTCATCAGGCATCTTCATTCCTCGAGATGAGATCCATTAAGACCCATTAAAGTCTTCAAATGGACAAATCCACTTAGCGGAATGACGGTATAGGCCAGAGCCAAATATGCTTACGTGTTGCAGGTCTGTGCGGCAAATTGCTCGACTCGACAAACTGCACTGAGCACGAGGGCGAGCTATTTTGCAAAGTGTGCCACGGACGCAAGTTCGGTCCTAAAGGATACGGCTTCGGTGGAGGCGCCGGTACCCTGTCCATGGATCAGGGTGAACATTTGAAGAGTAGCGAGTGAGTGCACCTGCCCGCGTCGTCCAATCCCCTCCCAGTCCCCTCAAACCTAGCTCCCCTAACTCCCCGTTTCCCAAACCAAGGGAAAAAAAAAAAAAAGAAAAGAAGATTCTCCCCTTCAGTCGTTTGTACGATCAGACCATATCCCCATAGAGAACCAACACCGAATATAGTGCCGTTAACCTAAAGTCCAGAAACAAAAAACAAAAAAAAAAAAAAAAAAAAAAAAAAAAAAAAAAAAAAAAGAAAAAAAGTCAGAACTCGTGGAAAAAATATCACGAAGTATGAGAACGACCGACTCAACCAACATGGACAGCCCAATGATCCAACAGCATGATCCTCTTTTTGGAAACGAAATTGGAAGAAGCAAAGGCAGCCTACTAAGAACCCGAGGACCCAGAGCATGCGTCTACGTAACATATATGTGTATACAGCATCGCGAGACTGTGTCAAACTGCGCGGCCCATTGAAAAATTTTGAAAACTCCCCCTCCTCTCCCTCCCTCTTTAACCTAATCTCTTCCACTAGTTTCCGAATTTCAACTGGATCTTTCCTTTTTTTTTTTTTTTTTTTCATTCTCACTCGGCATTTCTAATTGTATAGACAACAGCTCCCTCCCCCTCTTTTTTTCGTGATTCCTTTTTTTTTTTTAATCTCGTGGTCCTATGATCCTAACCAGCAAACAGTCCCGAATTCTCTGGTTTTCCCTTGTTCCCAACGAATCCCAAACTCGTCGTTCATCGGCACCGACAGCGATGATGGTGATGATGGTGATGGTGGTGCTAAGACGACGACGACGACGACGACGACGTTATATTAATTAATTTGATAATTAACTGTGTTTTAATCTAGTCGACTGTTCTCTCTTCGTCACGTTTCCTGTTTTATATTTTCCCGTTTATCTTCTCTCTTTTTATTTTTCTTTCTTTATCTCTCTCTCTCTCTCTCTCTTTCTTTCTTTCTTTCTCTGTCTCTCCCACTCTCGTTTCTTTTTGTTACCCGTTTTTCTTTGTTTCTGTCTTATTTTTCTCGTTCTCCTCCTCGTTTTTTTTTCTGTTAATTCTTTCTTTCTATTTTTTTTTTAGCTGTTTTACCTATTTTTCGTTGTTGTCTCTCGTTTTTTTCTCTGTCCGTGTGAACGACTGGATTAAGAACGGTCGTTTATTTTTTCTCTCTCAAGTCGTATATATATACATACAGATATAATACTACTACTACTATATATATATATATACTCTTTCTCGTTTCTTTTATTGCGATATTACTACACTACATTACGCTAGTTTATAGAATCATTTGTACCATCTGTAATAAGTGCCATTAAAAGACTTAAAAAGGGAAAGAAAAAAAAAAAAAAAACAGAAGAATCTGGTGTTCTTCATTGACACTTGGCTTTCGAGTGTTGACTTTTCGAACGCATTGACGGTCGGACAAAAATGTTCTTGCCACGGAGTAAACACGTTTCTCACGGATCGAAGTATGCATGAAAAAATTCAGATTACTGTGGTACAGATGAAAATGAAGAGTGATCTTATGGTATGTCAAAAACATTTTTGACCCACTGTACATGCCCACACACCTACTTAGCTCTACTACATTTAGATATGTAAAAAGAAACCTAAACATTCCGACCTGGCAACAACAATGCAACAACGAACAAGGAACGAACCGAGCAAATCGCGGTTCAAGAACGAAAAACCCCGTGCGAACGCAAGAGCCAGGCCGTCCAACCTTCTTTTAACTGTTCTAGCAACCCTTATTTCCCACCCTTACATTCCCGAGATATCTCTCTCTCTCTCTCTCTCTCTCTCTCTCTTTCTCTCTTTCTCTCTGTTTTATTCTCTCCAAAGAAAGATAGTACAACAACACTTGAAAGAAAAAAAGCAAACAACTGACTGAAAAAGTCGAGCGAAAAAATAGCAAAAAAAAAAAAAAAAAAAAAGATACCCCACTACCCCCGCCAGCCCCGCCGAGTGCGAGCCAACCGGAGGCCCATGATCGAACGATATATGTTGTCGCTTTATCACGAGCCTGCCCTCGAAAATCCTCGTGATAAAGGGAACAAAGCGAGTAACAAAAGAAAAAAATGGTGAGCACCGAGTCAGATTCCGCCTCTCTCTTCTCTTATCTTGTAATATTTCTCTCTCTCTTGACTCTCTCTCTTTCTCTTTCTCTCTCTCTCTCTCTCTCTTTCTCTCTCTCTTTGCCTACTTCTCTATCTTCACCGCCTCACAGAAAGAAACCAACCGCTTCTTCGACATGTTTCTCTTTCTTTTTTTTTTCGAAATTTCTTTTTCTTTTTCGTTTTTTTTTTTTTTTTCTTGTTTCTTCAAAGATTCGACAAACATCTTGGTTTATCGATCGGCAGCAGCAGCAGCACACACCTGCACGGCCTCTCTCTCGTACCTCTCTTTTTTTTTTTCCATTCGAGGACACGTAACTCCGTAACCCTTGCTAACACGTTTAACTTTATGGGTGCTTCTTCTGTTTAGACGTATACACACACACACGGATACACATACGGTATACACACACTCTGCTCGGCTTACAGAGACACACACACACACACACTTGTAGAGATGCTACACGTAGATGAAAAGCTTGTTCGGTTTCCTTCCTTCAGCTAGTATTGTACCACCTTCAGCTTTCTTCTCTCTATATCTGTCCTTATACTCTTTCGAACCCAATTTTATTTTGTTTCCCACCTTTTTTTGTTTTTTTTTTTTCTTTTTTTCACCTCTTCCATTCTCTCCGCCTATCTATTTCTTTCTTTCTTTCTTTCTTTCTTTTCATTCTTGTGCCTCTTGCTCTGTCCTCACTTGTTTCTTTTTTCTGAGTAAAAATTTGTATTACTATTTGGTTTCTTGTTATCACACGATCCGCTTCTTGGCTCTCCTCTCGGGGCTCGGCGGAAGCCACTTTTGCGAGTGGTTGCGAAGGGAAAACGGGATTACTAACCGATTACTAACATGTGCCTAACACTCTAACAGCCGGGTTGTTACTCTTTCATCGGTTTCTGGTAATCAGTTGTTCACCTAGAGTATCGATCAGCGGACGACGGTAACTATCGTCGAACCTCGAAACTTGACGTTCCTCCCTTGAAACTGGTTATTAATTAATTTCGTCGAACGAATTCGAGGGCTCGAGGTTTCGTCGGTTCGCTGGTCGACCACCCTCCCCCCTTTTTCTGGTTTTTGCAGTGGTGTTTTCTTGTACTTGTCTGCTTCTGTCCCCGGTGGTTCCACACCCTCAGTGTTCCAACGCCCCTCGATAATGACCCCCCATTGAGTCGTTTTATAACCAAATACGTGTAAAAGAGAAAAGATCTCTGAAAAAGGATCTCTGTCAAAATTAATTCTCGCGTCCTACTTACGACGAGTCGACATTCTCACAGCTGGCGGACAGATTTTACGCGAAGTTGTTGGAAGATGTTAGAAAATCTCTTGCAGTATGACATTTCAGAATCGGAGAATAACGGCTAATTAATATATAAATAGTTAAATTTTTAAAGTAACGAGACAACCACCTTCGGGAGGAAAGAACGATCGAACACCATTTAAAAAACGAAAACCGGCTGTGAAAGACGTTGACTCGAACATCCCCCGGAACGAATAATTGTTGATGGGAATGATGGGGGGGCGCTGGCACGCCAATTGGGAATCACAGCTTGACCTTATCCACACCGACGAAGGAGTGAAAAATCTGATCTCTACAAGGGACACGTTTTTAGGGACATCGCGAGGGGATCGAACGCCATTCTGGAACCGAGAGCCATCGCGAAGGCGCCCGAAGGGGAAGGGTGCCCCCGATGCGGAGGATACGTGTACGCTGCTGAACAGATGCTGGCCCGAGGAAGGGTGAGTTTCTCACAAAAATTCGTCGCCCCGTTTACTCTCGAGACATTGTGCTATACTTTGGTACCACGGTTCGTCGAAATCCCGCCGTGTTCTCCAAAAGGTCCAACGTTTTCCGTACGAAAATATTCGCCAAACGATATATTTCGGACGAAGTCTAAGATTTTCGGTGACGACTGCAGCAATTTCTATCCGATCACTAAAATTTAAACTGTCTTGGCTCCAAACTGTTACGATTCCCAATGGGGAACTGATACCGGTTGGTTCTAATACCAGCAGTCTTTCAGAATTTCGATCGTGCAGACCTGCCTTCGGAAAATCTCCGAGTCTCGCACAGCTCAGGGAGTTATGTCACCGGTATAAAAAAGCCGATGGAAACGAGTCTCACTAACGAGGTATTCTTAGACCGTGTCCGCTTTATTTTTACCCGGGCAACCTGATACCGCGCGATCGAAATAGAGGGGAGTTGTAAACAGTTCGTGAAATCCGTAGTTATTAATCGGGCCGCCAATTGGACTGTGCGAAATTCCTCTTCGAGAAACTCTCGTTTACCAACGATTAGTCAGTTCTAATCTTGATCCCCTTGAACGTTTTCTGGAAGGACCAGCGTGTCGAAACGCATTTACGCGCCTGTGTAGCCTCGAGAGATCTTCTAGAAATCTTCGATCTCTCGAGGGGGAACAGAGGCTGCTGCCCGAGATCGAATTTTGCGACGGCGTGCGACGCGGCCGAGGAGGGTGGCCTCGCGGTTACTCGGATTCTAAAATTGACTAGATTCACCGGCTGACATAGTGCCAGATACTTGGTGTAGCGTGACGTGGACTCCGTGATCTTCTCTCTCTCTCTCTCTCTCTCGTGTCTGACGAAACGCGTGTAATTTCATAACAATGAGGGAAAAAATAAGAGCGGAAAGAGAAGTCGGAGGATGAATCGACGGCAGGCTTGTTGCCGGTTGGTGCCGGCCCAAGAGCTTTTCCTGTCTTCGTCGGCAGCTTGGCAACCGACCAACTGGCCCTTTCTGCGCTCGATGTTGGAAAATAACTTGGATTAAGCCCCGATGCGGGCTAATTGCCCCTTTTAGGACACTGTCGGGCCTCCTCGTCGTCGGCACGACCTTTCGACACCGTGCCCTTGGTTACGTAGACTCATGGGCCTCAAACGTGCTCGGGTGTTTCGTAACACGATCGTCGAGAGGCTCTCACGCGTCAAGGTCTCTCATTGAAAATAAAATTCGATCTTGGAATCGCAGAGTGGCAAGATTTACGGCAGTTTTCGCGCAGAGCAGAATTGGGGTAAAATTGGCCACTGGTCTATAATACCACGTTTCTATGTCTCTTTTTCTATCTTTTTATAGAATCTCGTCGTCGCCGCATATACGACTTCAGTTTCGCAATTTTCGCCAAGTGCTAGAGCTTCTAGAAGAGTCTCTTCGATTTTCACCGAGAGACAGCCGTGAACTTTTACAAAAAAAAAAAAGAAAACGAAACCTCTTTTCAATTCGATCAGAACCTTCCTTAACGAAAGTTCGATTTGATCGTCGTCTATTTACAATCGTCTATTGTTAATCGTGTTAACGACGACATTCGACGAGGTTGGCCAATTGGAGACACACCAAGTGCTTGCAAATCTTTTACGAACGTACAAATGCGATACAAATCGGTATTATCAATCGTTTCCAAGTTCAAGTTAGGATGTTAACCCATTCAGGATTTCAAGACTGGCCGCGGTACCAAAGACCCAATTCTCTATTCGAATCGATCATGAGAAGTTACTCGCCCCCTAAGACACCATGGTTATTCCTACTTCTTGTGATTAGGCTTACCATAAGCAATGCTACAAGTGCAAAACCTGTCAACGGTCTCTGGACTCGACGCTTCATTGCGATGGTCCTGATCGCGAGATATATTGTCGAGGTATCTTTTGCAATGCAACAACTCTGTATTTACTCTTTCTCTCTCCCACTGCTCGTTTCTTCATCTCAGTTGCGCACACCATACGTCCAAAATGTGTATTCGAACGCTACTCAGATCAGTCAACGATTTCTTCGTATCGTGCGAGTAAAAGACTACGCTGAATGAAATAGAAAATGTTTTGTTGCAGTTGCTTGGTTGACGAATGACAGAAATTTCAAAATTTTAATTCTGACAGACACAAATATTAATATGAGAATTATTCAAAGAATAATTTAATCAAAAGCAGTTCTTTCCGTCTAGAGAAGTTTATAATATTTGAAAGAAAAAAAAAAAAAAAAAATCAAGTATCAAGTTTCAATTAAATTATGTCTCTCAAGACATAAGATAAAGGGGGAAGGTAGTTTAGTCATTGACTGATCTAGGTATCTGCATTTTTCGTCTTTGGTCGATCCTTTGTGTCCTTTTCTAGTGATGGTCCTCAGTTAAAAAAAAAAAAAAAAAGAGAAAGAAAAAAATAAGATTCGTGGTACACACTGGCGCAAAGTGTTCCGTAAATTGTCACACAAAACGAGCTGTCTGTACAGAGGAACTAGTCCACGTTTCTTCCTCTAAAGAACGGGAGAGACGGCCTCGTCTCTAGGAGCGAACGTCGACATCTTGCGGCCCGAGAATCCTCTGCAAGTGTTTCGATCTTTCTTTCCTACTGTTTCACTCTCTCTCTCTCTCTCTTACTCAAATTCAAATGAGGACGTTAGTTGGAAAGCAACAACATCAGAACGTCTCGGTCTCTGTTTCGGCACTAGAAACAGACACTAAGCTTTTCCAACGAGAGAACGATTGCAAAAATTGGGAATAACTATGTGTGACAGAACGTAAGACACGTCACGACTTCCCCCCTTAGTTCCGGTGACTAACCACTGCGTTCCCTTTGTGTCTCACGCAGCAATGGCACAAGGAATGCTTTAAATGTGCCAACTGCTCCAAGAGATTAGACTCGGTCAACTGCTGCGAAGGTCCTGACAAGGACATCTACTGCAAAGGTGAGGACACATTACACTCTTGCGTAACGCCCGCAGGTACGAAGGTACTCTGGATGTGTTCAGACAAAAGATACAAATTTCATAAATGCCAGGAGGCCGAGCACCTGGAAATAGAATATTATATTATTCGGAATTCGATTTACGATTCTCAGAATTATTATTTCAATTGGAATCTCGAACTAGACAGAGACTGCACACGTCTGCACCTTGGTCTCCGAGCCTTAATCTACATCCTCTCCACAAATTCTCTCCCCTCCTCCGGGTCTATCGGAATTAATAATAGTTGAAAGATCGCTGGGAATTTATTTAAGACTGCTAGGAATTATCATTCGAATTAGAAACCAGACACACAAGCACATTTCCACACGGTTGTGGAATATTTCTACCCGCTAATCCACTTTGGTTTTAACCTACATTCAAGTCGGAATCTCTAAATAAATTACCTGATATCGGAATTCATAATAATTCATAACGTACAATTTGTCACTTCGTCGTTTCGATAATATTATCAATTAGCAAATTACCGCGCGGAACGCGTTTCCGTCTCGAGTCTGGTCTACAATCCCATCTCCCCGTCCCCGTGGAATCTCTGCAAGCTCCCTCAATCGAAATATCAGGATCGATAATAACTTGCCCCTTTTTAATTTACATTATCGGTTGGTAAATCATTCCGAAGCGCTTGACACTTTAATAACACGGCGAGCCTCCACCGTTTTGTCCAACTCAACTCGAGTATAAAAATCGGTAGTCAAGTATGAAAAAAGATGAGTACCGATCGATTTCGAAATCACGACGATCGCCTGAAGGTGAGAACACATCCACGTGTACGTCGTACGCTGGTGACGTCAGGCAACTAGGTCAAGAACGAGCAGATACCTTTAACACATGTTCTCTGCAGTATGCTACGGAAAGAGATTCGGACCGAAGGGTTATGGCTATGGTCAGGGTGGTGGCGCCCTGCAAAGCGACTGCTACGCCAATGGGTGGGTTTTCAGAGCCGAGACTGAGACGGGAACTATAAACGAGAGATGATATCCCGCCTCGGCTTCTACATTCTCACTATATATGATGCGCTTGTCTGCTTAACAGCTTGCTATCCGAAGAAATTCGGTCCGCGAGGTATTGGCCACGCTGGGGTTATGTGGATCGGGCTGCAGTGCGATATTGAGGACGAGGGGTACGCCCCCCCCCCCCCATAGTTATGCTATTCCACTTATGTATATCAGCCACTCTCTTGTCTATCTATATGTGCGTGCGTCTGTTCTTTTTTTTTTTCTTTTCTTTTTTTTCTGTCCGTCTGTCTGGCCCGATTTTCAAGAAGCCCCGTTTTTTTCTTTCAACTAATTCTCACGCCAGATTCAAGTTTAATATATAAATGAAGTTTAATATATTTCGTCAACGGAGGGGGGGAAAAACTGACGCGGGATGGTCCAAGCTTGGCGTCTCTCGAACAATTGGATCGATATTACAAGTTGCGCGAGTTCTTGGAGCAAGTGAATTTCTGCAAGTTGAAAGAGCTTCGATACTTTCTTCCTTTTTCTCTCTCTCTCTCTCTCTTTGATAAGCACTTTCCAAGCTGAGAATCATGTCCCGTTTATGTCAAAAAATCACGTTTGATTTTAATCAAAACTTTGACGAATTTAATAAATTTACTTTCTTTCCTTTTGGAATTTCAACCAACGGAATTATCAATTGAATGATCTCTTCTGCGCTTCGTTCGAATTTAAACGCCGCCTCGAATGACACTCATCTTGGAACATCCTTCGGACAAACTGACCAGACTGAGAACTAATATTGAAGTAACTGTTTCTTAATGAAAATTCGAAGAAGAAGATGCCGATCGAGCTCCATTTACTTCTCAAAAGTTAAAGAAATCCGGGTTACGAGTGAATGATCGAATGAACGGATATTTGCATGTGCTTCATGGACATACACACAGGCACATACACACGAATCGACGCCTTAACGCTTTGCGCTATTACTCACCTTCGCCGTTGTCTTATTTTTCGGCCACTAAATTCGCTTCCGAGTGTAGGATGTGATACCAATTCTTAAAACATCATCAATAACATCTCTTATCTACACCTAACTTATCATCGTGTGCTAAAAGCATGCTTCCCTCTCGTATAATCAAAAATGATGATCGTATACCGTACACAGATGAAAAAATAAATTTGCCCTTTTCGAAAAAAAAAAAAAATATATATATACCATATTCACGTGTGTGTGACATCTTTCAACTTTCAAATCGTGCTTTTTCATTAGCATTCGAATCTTAATTGCTGATCGTTGTTGACCAGCGCGCGCCTCGTTTGCATGGAACGTTTTTCTTTTTTTTTTTTTTTGTGGTTTTCAAAGTGCCCGAACCCGGAGTCGAGTCGCTCGAACGAGAATAAATTTGAATCCAATCATCCCGAATCTTTCAATAAAGATGAGAGTCTCTCCGTCTCTCCTCTAAAAACAAAAAGAAAGTTTGACATTGGAAAATTTCTCTCGTCGTTCGTGCCGCTCGACGATGAATTTTCGATATCAGCGGACTGGACGGTTTGGTGGACATAAACGTGTTGAATTTTCGTGACGTAGCGATGCTGCTCCTCGTACGACCGTGGTCGACACCGCCATAATCAAGGCCCCGCCTGGCAAAGGTTGTCCACGTTGCGGTGGCGTCGTGTTCGCTGCTGAACAGGTGCTCGCGAAGGGCCGCGAATGGCACAGGAAATGCTACAAGTGTCACGACTGCAGCAAAACTCTCGACTCTATCATCGCCTGCGACGGGCCCGACAAAGACGTCTACTGCAAGACTTGCTACGGAAAGAAGTGGGGACCGCACGGATACGGATTCGCATGTGGATCGGGATTCTTACAGACCGACGGCCTAACGTGAGTAACTGTCTCCTTCCGTCCGTGACAAGTTAGGGCACTTTAGGTCTCTAGAGTTCCAAACATCCGAGTTACTCCATACACTTGGAATTCTAAATAATGGAATTTCCATAGGCGTCTAGAATTCCAGATGTTTGAACGTTTAGAATCCGAGTACGTAGTTGGGTACCTATTCAGACATTTGGATATTTAGATTCGAAAGATTTATAAACACGAAATACCTAGGTATCTAGAGTACCAGATATTTGAATCAACAGAGTTTCGCAGATTTAAAAGCGTCTAAATCTTAAGATTACAAAAATCCAAGTAACATTTGAGCACTTAAAGTTTCCAAAATCTCCAAATAGGAGGAAATAAAACTCCAAATATATATCCAAATGTTGATGTTGGACGAATCGATTTAGAAATCCTCTTCGATAAATTGATTCGAAAAGAACTGAAGATGAGAGAGTGTCTGAAAGTGAAAGGACTGGAAGAGAGTTTTTCTTCCAGGGAGGATGAAATATCGGCCAGTCGGCCGTTCTACAATCCTGATACGACGGCTATCAAGGCACCAGCCGGCCAGGGTTGCCCCCGCTGCGGTGGCATGGTGTTTGCCGCCGAGCAACAGCTCGCCAAAGGTACCATGTGGCACAAGAAGTGTTTCAACTGTGCCGAATGCCATCGGCCTTTGGACTCTATGCTGGCCTGCGACGGACCCGACAAGGAAATTCACTGCCGAGCTTGCTACGGCAAGCTCTTTGGGCCCAAAGGATTTGGTTTCGGGCACACGCCGACTCTCGTTTCGACCAACGGAGATCACGCTCCCTCGTAGTAAGTATTGTCAGTACTTTGACAGATCGAGATCTCTCTTCAGAAGTCAGATCTCACTTTAAATTGAAATGAATCCATCGAGTCAAGTGAAGACAAAGACTTTGACGTCTTTGGATTAGAGTTGGTTGTAAGATGTTTGTTCACGCATCAGCCTATCTTGCCACTTTAACCTCTTGGCGCTGGAATGATGTCACGCACGTCGAGAATTTTTTCTCCCAGATTGCAACATTTTCTCAGTTTTAAGTATATTTAAACGTAACCCTCGTACCGGGACGAGTTCAAAAGAAAAAGAAAGCGACGAATTATCGTATATACGGTTCGGTCGTTCGTTGTGGTCCGCAAACTAGTTGCCAGCGCAAGGTGGTTAAACGAGCCCAAAAGATTTGAACTGTTTCGAAAAAAAAAAAAAAAAAAAAAAGAAAAGAACTCCAATTCGATTTAAATGTGAAACAGTTGCTTTCAACTTGCATTGAGATCTACGCCGATCGTTTCAGCATCGACGCAAAGCCTCAGGTGGGCCAGAAACGGACAGACGGCAACGGGTGCGCGCGTTGCGGCTACCCAGTGTACGCTGCGGAGCAGATGATCTCGAAGAACCGCGTGTGGCACAAGCGTTGCTTCAGCTGTGCCGAGTGCCACCGTTCGTTAGACTCGACGAATCTGAACGACGGGCCGGACGGGGACATCTACTGCCGCGGCTGTTACAACCGGAATTTCGGACCGAAGGGCGTTGGTTTCGGCATGGGGGCGGGCACCCTGACGATGGCCTAACTTCTTCTTCTTCTTCTTCTTCTTCTTCTTCTTCTTCTTCTTCTTCAGGAACGTCGACACGCTCGAAACCAGTCTCATATATATATATAAATACAAATATAAATATACACATAAATATAATTATATCCGTCACGTGCACGCGAATAAACGATCGGAATCGTTGCACACCGTCGAATTCGTTGTTTATTCGCGCGTACATGGAATATGTATATGTATAGACGCCTGACTCCTCGACTAACTCCGACGAAGTGACGAGAAAAAAGAAAAAAAGAACAAAAAAACACGCTGCTCCAAAATGTCAAACAAAAATGTCACACACAGAAATTCTTTTCTTTCGCTGAAACGACGACCGCATACCGATAACGCAACGAAGACTGCACGCACGTTTCGTCGATGCTCTTCGACCACGTCGTGGCGCACGAACGACCGAGATACCACGAGATTAATCGAACACGTGTAAACGAGCGAGCTTTTATTACTTTTTTATGGGCGAGAATCCGCGACACGGAAGACTCGCTCGATCCCCTATGCCCCCAACGACGGATCAGACCTCGATCAATCAGTGTGTTCTTGCCCACTTTCGTTCGAATTCGGGACCAAATTCCGCTGCATTCACAACTTGAAAACAAAACCGGGGAGTCTGTTCGTCGGAGGGAGAAAGGGATCTCGCGAGCGTGACACACACAGAGAGTACAAAGGACAAATCCGTTTATATACTTGGACCGCAATCAGGAGCAACGCACAGCGATTGTAGTTGACGACAGAAGTGACGAGCGAAGAAGAACAACAGACGAAAATAAAAAAAGAAATGATTATTTTCAATAAATGTATATTTCGAGAAGAAAGAAAAAAAAAAAAAAGAAAAGAAAAAAAAAAAGGGAAAAGAAAACGAATAAGAAAGACCGAAAAAAAAGAAAAGTGGGTTGGCCTGTTGTGTTTTCGTGGAAAGGTAAAACGACGCGACGCCGTTTTCCACGGGCATTCTCGACATTCCAATTGTGCCTGATCGAATACCTCGTCGAAGGAAAAGTCATCGTTTTCAACACGCGAGCCTCGATAATCCTTTTAGAAGGCAGACCCGAAGCATTTATATAAAAATATGTTTGGACGTCGAAAGAGTAACGACACGTTCTCGCACCCCCTCGAATCGATGGGTGGGGAGGGTGTTTAATCTACGATTTAATCTTTAAATAGCCAACAGACAGATGCACGGGTCAAAGCGATCTGCTCGTGTAAAATAAATTTGTCCTCTCTGTTGATCGCCAGACTACGGATCTTTTTGCAAATTCATATTTTTCTACGAAATTCACAAGGATTTATCAGACCTCGCGAAGATAACTAGGTTGGAACCTATAAATCCTTGTCTAATATTTTTTTACCGTTCCAGGCTTTCAGAAAATTCCTGCTAAAATTTGTTAAACACTCTGACGTACAATCCGCATTAAGCTAAAAAAAATCTGTAGCCCGTCGACGATCGATCGAGTGACTCGAGTCACTTGAAAGATTAAACGCCGCTCGCGGAACGCGTGTCGTTCTCTCTTCGATATAAGGACTAATTTCCACGATTAATCGAGCAGCGATAAGTTTTCCTTCGACCATCTCGGGAACTGGCTGCCTTTCATTTTTCTCTCTCCTTTCCTTTCACTCCATCGCACTCTCTCACTTTCTCTCGATCGCTTTCACACAGATAGGTTTTCGTATCGTCAGGGATACGGGCTAACATTATCCTTATTTACGAATGGACCTTAATAAATCTTATTACACTAGTGTATAATTCTGTGAATGTATATTGAATGGCCAATGATACACACGTCGGTGGAGCTACATTTCGTGCTTTCCTTCTCTCTCTCTCTCTCTCTCTCTCTCTCTCTCTCTCTCTCTCTTTTGTTCTTCCTAAACATGCGTTTTTCCATTCTCTTTGTGTCCGTTTCGTTCACACTGTGTTAGGGAAAGAAACCTTGTTCCCCTGGTTTTTTTTTTTTTTTTTTTCGATGGATCAGTAAGTATGAGTTTACGGTGTAAAACACTAATCTTCTATATTTATAGCAACAACTGTACAAGTGCCGGGCCACATCGATATCCTCCATAACGTGTCGCTTACATTTTACCTTGACAAAATGTAGTGGAGAGAACGCTGCTCAGATTCTTCTTTCTTTCTTCATCTTTTCTCTTACGCGGTTTTTCCTCATTGCTCATTCAGACGTCTAAAGTCAAAAACTTTCACCTTGATCGAATTTTCATTCGGACTCCGACTTGTCTTTCGGATTCAAACATTCGTGGCTCTTTTGAAAAACTTTCGCAGCTTCCTCCTTGAGAAACTTGACTCGGAGTGCTTGGTTTTGCTTTTAGACGTCTTCGCGTGCGATTTATTGACATAAATGCTATCCATTCACTGATTAATCAATGAGGAATTGTAGGACGGTACGTAGATATCGATTATCACTAGGTTTACCAGCGAGAATCTTATCGAATCATCGTAAATATCTTCCATCGAGGTCGTTTCTCACTGTTTCACTTTAAACACACACACACGCACGCACACACACCGTACAAAGAAAGGATAAAGAACATCATACTTACTTAAATAAAATCAGGAAAGAAAACAAAAAGCTGAAAAGAATCACGAAGCAAAAGTCTCGCAAAAATAAAAAGCCGAATGTTATTCGGAATAAATTTCAAATATTCAGAAGCAAAATATTCTTGCAGAGAAAAAAGAAATAAAAAGGTTAACTGTAAGAAAGATCAAAGTAACTAATTGAAAACAGTTCGGATTCTTGAATAAATTGTAAAATAAAGAACTAAATAAAAGTAAAAATAAGAAAAAGAAACAAACATAACGAACAATAACTCTCTGAGAAGAAACTAAAAGAAGGGTTTAGGTGTCTAGAGTACCAAGTATCTGAGGTTCCAAACAATTAAATATACCTACAATGTCAAACCCTTGGGTATTAAATGTTGGATTTCTAGGTTCCAAAAGTTTAGATATCTAAGCTTCTAAACACTAGGAGCAGTTAGAGCCCCAAATATTTAGGTAGCTAAAGTTTCAAAAACTTTACACTTCTCAAAGGTCTAAGCATTTATGTATCTACTCGGAGCTTCAAATACTTAAGTATCTCCAAGCCAACATTAGGCTTGACACCTGAGATTCCAAACGCTCGAATCAACTCGAAAACAAAACTCACCAAAAGGGATCCAAAGAAACAAACAATTCCTGCTACTTTCCCTGGGGAAAACGCTCGACCGAAGAGGACACACTTCACAGACAACCAGTGATGAAAACGACCGCGCGACGGACCGAAGAGGGCCTCTGAACAGCATCCGTCGTGTTCCGTTTTCTGGGCGTGTGATACTTTCTATATTTACATAATTTCGCCGGGATGGAGCGGTTTCGTCGGGACGTTAGATTAGTAGAGATTCGCGGTTTTCAGAGGCAGCGGGTCCAACAGATACGGAGGTAGCGCCGCTGAGAAAGGCCTCGGGCTACAGGAGCCCCATGTTCCTCCGCCGCTGTTGCTTCCCCGTGTGTTCGGCGAGTTCCCTTCGGCAGCCGTGTCGCTGGTGTGTTTGACGCTGACGAGATTCGGGTTCGGGATCGGTTTCACCTCGTTCGTCGACATCACGTTGTTCGAGCTGCCCGGCGGCGTCGCTGGACTTCTCGGAGAACGGCCCTCGGCCTTCACGTTGCCACCTACGGGACTGGAAGCGCCGCTGTCCACCCCTATCCCGCTCTGCGAGGTGGATTTCTGCTGCGCCAGCCTCTCCTGCTTCCGGAATTTCGCACGCCGGTTTTGGAACCACACCTGCAATCACAGAACCACACAGATCCTCAAGTGAACGTAGATAGAGATTTCTTTTCAAGGAGTTGGATTGGTTTCGCCTGACTACATAATCATAATTATTATAGTAATCCTATGATCGAAAAGTTCCTTCGTTATAATCTTTGCGCTTATTCGAGTGAAAGAGCGCGCGCGACCACCGGGTGGGGGAAAAAAAATCAGTCAAAAAAACGTCTGTGGATCCACGGAGACAGAATGAAAGAGGGGGTGGTGTCGGACGGCGTAAAAGCGCGTCATGTCCATGTCCAGCTCGTCAGAGCGAAACGTCGGCGCAGGCAGCGCTCGTAATTGGCTCTAGTTGGCCAAATGAAATATTTAACGAATAAAATAAACGGAAAGCGGCGGTGACCTGCATGTTAAAGTAGCGGATTTATTTGCTTTACCGTTTATCTGACCAGCAAAGCCACCCTCTCTCTTCCGCGATCGTTCGTCTCTCTCTCTCTCTCTCTCTCTCTCCGTATCCCCTTTTCGTTCGTTCCTCGACGTGTGTGCACGTGGATCCCACCCCTAGATTTTCCAGGGGCGGCTACGTTGTAGGAGCTGGCTGAGTGGTAGAAGCCGGGAAAGAGGGGGAAAGGGGTGGATTCAGAGAGTCAGGGGCGCGGGACACCATGATGAACGTGATTGCCCTTTCCGGACGGCAAACACTGCTATTGGATTTTTATCAGCTGCTGCTGCTGCTGCTGGCTGGCTGACTGCTGCTTCTGTTCAACGGCCGCGCGGCGTCTCTTCTTCTCTCTCTCTCTCTCTCTCTCTCTCTCTCTCTCTCTCTCTCTCTCTTTCGCTCTTTCGCTCTATCTGTTCGAGAAATTTGTGTAAACTTCGAGAACAGTGAACGTAGGTCCAAACCTTCCTCCAGTGGATCCTTAGGCTCTCGTTGTGATTAAACAAACGATGATTTTATGGTCTCTATTTGGGTCATGGCAAGTCAGGTTTAGATTTTGATGGATTTCAGAGAGAGGTAGATGTTACTTCCTTTCTATTAAAGAGATTGGTACAAACTTTCAATTTGTGTCAATCAGTCAGATGACGATTTTACGACCGCAGATTCTAGATATTGACGATATGTCTGAGGTCATTTAGGAAAGCTGAAGGGATGATGAATCGGAAACGCAAATTGCCAATTTTAAAACGACACACATGAAGATACTACTGTTTGGAGAACAGCTCGTTGAAAAGAAGAAGGGAATTTGGAAAGTCGAGCTACGCAATGCCGACGTCGCGGAATTTATAATTCGCAAAAGTCGGGAGGGAAATTTGAAAGAACCGAGCGAGGGCTATTTGATTGGCAGTGGAGGAAAGTAACGATGCGTAGGCAACGGGGCGTGTAGGAGCCGGGCTTAAATATTTATCCAAAACGAGGTGGACATCTGTCGGTGCGGCTCGTTGCATTTTATTTAGGCGTACTGTATTTATTTAACATTAACGCCGGCACGTAGTCTCCCTAATTCACGCCGTCGTCGTCGTCCGTTCGGCAAACAACGGCACACATGCTACGGTCTCTTCGGGGTTTGGTCCGTGGCCAAATACGAATTATTAGTGTTGTCACTGGCACGTACCCGCCCGCGTTTCTGCCTGCGTTACACAGTTTTTCCTCTCGACGATGACGTAATTTTATTACAGCCACCGTCGGCAGCATTTGTTAATCTATTCTTCTCTCCCACAATCAGAAACACCTTCGAACGACCGTCTTGCCGAAATTAAAAGCTACGACAGAGAAGCGACGTCCTTACGAACTGTAAAAAATGACCAATTTGTAATTTCTCACTTGGAACTTTATGGATTTTTGAGGATCTTCGTGCAAAATACATATATAAATTTGAGTTTTGGCAGATTCGAGCTCCCAATTTAGAAATTGGCGTTTCAGACTGTTAACAGTATATTGCAATAAATAACAGAAATGAGACTAATGTATGAGACAAACACTAATGAAAATTGCTACTTCCTCACAATTTATTCTGCCGTTCTGAATTACCGACTATAAAATCTCAATGGATTTCAAATTAAAAAGAAAAATTATTCGTAATAATTAAATTAAATTCATACCAACTGAATTATCCCGAAATTATAGATTTCAAATAAAATATACATCCTAATACTTGTTTCATCGAAATACATGAAATTGAAGTGCGCCAATCAGGTTAGACTAGGGGACCTAGAAAACGATCAAAATTAAAAGTTTTGGCAACTGGAACGTCTGTCTGAAGCATTCGAGGTCACAGATCCGCCAGATTTATGCCGCTTTAAATTTTCTCATTCTTCTAACAGCATGTTCACGCAAAGTGAAATATCGATTCGTTTGAATTTCGGAACCTAATCCGAGAAGAGAACTGTAAATACGTTTGACAAAGAGGGGAAGGAGGCTTATAGACACGGACCATTAGGGATTCCGTGCCGATAGAAACAAGTTTGCGGTGTATTTGCTCGTTAGATTAACCCTCGCGATTCGTGAGTCGTTGTGATTTCCTCCTTCTGAATAGGTTAGCCAAAGATTGCATCCCTAAGGGGCTGGCAACTATGCTGGCTTACCAATGAACATCCGAACTCGAAAAGAAGAATATTTCGCCACTGAAAGCTGTGGGAGCGAATTGGATCTTGTGAAATGAATCGAGAAGAATATTTTACCCGAGATAAATATGATACGAGATGTGAGATACTCGTGTAGATCCGTTGATTAGGAAGATAACTATACGACGAGATATCAATCGTAGGAAATTAGACGTCAACAATAATTTTTCGCGCTCCAGTAATGTTTTTCAAGGAAAATTTCAAATTAATCTTCTTCTACGAAACGTACAGTGATTCTTAAATCCAAATATAATAATGTTATTTCGTTAGTATTTTTGAGTAGATCTCTATTCTACGTTTTTATGGGCGACGAAAACATTCATAAGAAAGTCCGGGGAGCTCGGAATTAATTGAATTAATAAAGGAAGTATGCCGAAATACTCAAACGCGGGGAAGTTACTGGCGAATGCTCAGCTTCCGGCGGGAGCACTCGAAGTTCGGAAATCTTTCGAATTTTAAACAACCTGGCCAACATTCTTGAGGATTTGAGTGAGAAGTGTGAAGTGAAAGTTAGAAAAACAGGATAACGAGATTAAGATACAAGCTTCGTTGAACTTCGTTCGTTTACATACGAAAGCGAAGAAGAGAGCAGATCGCACGTAGAAAAACAAAAATCACAGTTTCCAAGTTTTTCGAAAATTTCCAAACAGGGCGCGCTGGAATACCGAACGCTTTTCGCCAAGAAGAACGAAACTTGGAAACTTTTTAAAGAATTTACGAAAATGTTGTCACGACGTAAATTTCCTTTCAATTAACAATAATCCAACTGACCACGTATTTAGACTTCTTCGCGGATTCTTTTTAATTTTTATTTGCTGCAAAAGGATTAATTAAGTTTACATTTCCCGATAAATGTCAAAATTTTAAGTTTAAAGTTTCGTGCTCGGGCCTGGATGATCTATACATCGAATTTCCATCTGTTTCCGACTCGTTAATTCCAATTTCAGCTGATGAATTTTTAAGGTAGCGTCATTTGGACGTTGAAAGCGAAAGATATGACGCACGATCAGAGCAAAGGATTCGCTCTTCAGGCCGAAGGATGTTGAAGCTCGTGAAAGATTCACGGCACGTCCAAGATTCTCTCGATGCGTCACATTAAGCTAGTTATAAGGATATATCCGAAGTGGTGCTATCAATATCACGGCGGCAGGAAGTCAAGAGAAATCACTGTTACGTCGGATCACTTCCGCTTTGACGATAAATCAGACGAAGACGCGCGATTTTCACACTCCGCTGAATAATACAGACGAAATACAATTCAATCACAATTCGAACATTCAATCTAACCTAAACGTACGCATCACCAGATCCTCTTTTCCTTTATTTTTGAAGAATTTTTTTTATCAGCGAATCATTCGTCATGTTCAGAGAAATAACAAATTCGTATAGAAACAGCCAGATTTAATATTCAATCGGAACTAGCAATTAAAGTTCAATCATTGGAAATTCAAATTCAATTCAATTTAATCAATATCGTTGTCTCGTCCGTTTGACAGAGACGACATTCCACCCAGCAGCTCACAGTCAATTTTAATATTTAATTAACAATCAGAATATTCAACAATTAAATTTCAAGGAACAACTGAAACGTTCAACTTTTAGATTCTAAGCCTTGGAGGATCTTCAGACATTGACAAAGGTGGATATATTGTTCTTTAACATTGATAAATGAAATTGACGAAGGGAAGCACCGAATTATCCAGAATATAATATTACTGTTCCATTCTGTTTAATTTCTACTTGATTAATCTCAATTCTGAATGCAGATTAATACAATCAATCTCCATATTTATATTTAAGCGAGAGAATTTTTATTTTACATTTTAGGGGGCGGGGGTGGCTTCTTTGTTAATAAATAATTAATGGCAATTTTGTTCGTTCAAAGGTTAAGTACTAAAAGCCAGAGCAGTTAAGGATTCGCTAGGAGCATTAAATCAGACGTTCGATAATAGAATTGCAGTTGATGGTGATTGCTACACTCTCAGCCGTCAGAAATTACCTTCTTCAATTAACCAAATAAGTTCGGAAACGCATGGCCCTGCAGAGACAAAATCTTGATTAAGAGATGCATTGGACAGGCCGATCCGACTTGATGAATAAATCGCTATGGACAGATCTCATTAACTGCGTATCCACTTTCCTGTCTGACCACAACCGTCACGGTTCACTGTCGCTGCTTCACGGCTATCTATTTCACTATTCAAGCCAAGCGAAACAGCATTTTCCAACAGTATACATGGTCGTCGTAACTTTAGCATAACGAGACCGTGTAAATCGACCAAGTGTGCATTTCAGGCGTTAGGTAAGTAATTAAGTAATTGATTCAAATATGAGAAAAGAAGAATCTCGAATCTTGGTCAAGGCCGTATTTCGGTTCGATTGCGATTCAGTTTTCA